CCTCCTCCTTCTTCCTCCTCTCCGCTGCTACCAGAGGGGCGCTCGGTGCCGTGGTTCTAAGCCTAACAGTAGAAAGGGGGGTAGGTATGGAGAGGCAAGATTTTAGCTATGGTGAAGATGTACACACGAGATTTACGAGTTCAGGCCCTTCTCTAAGGAAGTAATAGCCCTACGTCTTAGCGCCCAGAGGCGGTCGATTGGATTATGTGTGTTATATTACAGACAGTGCAAACCCTTGTGCCAGAGGAGGGGGTGGCTTATATAGAGTGCGCCAGGGCCCCAGCCTGCCTCCATTACAAGGAAACTAATGTACATAAAGTAAGGGGCGTTACTGGTAACGCCAGCATTAAGTACTCTTAATGCCCATGAAGACTAAGGAGTGAATATCTGGCCGTTGCGCGTCCTACGGACTCCTGGTATTTGACGTAGTCGAGTGGTTCCCATATGGTCGAGTGAAGGTAGAGAATTCTGGTCGAGTGATTGCATCGTCGAGTGGATTCTTGGTCTTCTCATCTTCTGGGGTATTGACCTTGGGTAGGGTGTGTAGGTCAGGCCTATGACCCTACCCCAGGTCTGTATCCTCATCAGTAGCCCCCGAATGGATTAAGGTGTGAGTAAAAGGTAGGTTGAAATTGATCCTGTTCCGAGCTTCGGGACTTCGAGAGTGCTTTCTGTAAGTCTGAACGCTTGCGTTGATATTTGACGTCGACTCAGTTGCCTTGATCCATTCAGCTGACAGTCGAATGAATTGTTGATCTCGTGTGCCGAGTGTTATGTTGGAGCGCGGGATTTTTGGGCGCGGTTGTCTGCAGCATATCCCAGATTTCGCGGGATACGAAATTTCGGGGGAGCGCGCCAAACGGGGGAGGCCGAAGCAGGCGGAGCGGATAAGCAGTGATTCCTCGATTACCGTGCCGCCTTTTTCACCACGTACGCTGCGCGTGACTGTTGCGGGATTTGAGGGATCGCCCGGCCCCACTCGTCAGTCACTCGGAAATGACCTCTTATAAGGCGACCGGACCGAGGCGTCTACACTGTGCGCATTTTCTCTTCTTCCTCCTTTCTCTGCTTCTCCGCTGCACCTTACTCTTCCGCTCCGACGCCGTTGCCCCATCGCTATGGTGAAGGACAAGACGGCGGCGCTAGAGCACGCAAAGAAGACGAAGGATGCGGCAAAGGGCAAGAAGCAGCAGCGCGGGTCGTCGTCGCGCGCGGGGCTGCCGCTGGGCTGGATCCAGGGAGATTGGATCCGGTCTTCAATTCAGCAGGCAGACCTGGACGAGCTGATGGAGTCGGGGTTGATCGCCAAGGGAGCGGTGAGGCTGTCGGAGGGGGAGATGAGTCCTCAACCTCGACCGGGTGAGTGCATTCTGCTCGCCACCCACGTCGACCGTGGCTTTTTGCTTCCCCCGCATCCTTTCTTTCGGGGGTTTCTAAACTTCTTCGGCGCTCAACTCCACCATTTCTCCCCCAACACCATTACACATTTAGCTTCTTTCGTGTCGATGTGCGAGAACTTCTTGGGGTGTTGACCGCACTGGGGTCTTTTCAAACACATCTTCACTATTCGTTCCCAGTCGGTAAAAAAGGCCAAGTCGAGTGACTCAAAAACCCATGTCATCCAGATGTGTGGGGGTTTAGGCATCCAATAGAGAAAAGGGAGTGCCTTTCCTGCCATGACCGTTCCCGACTCAGTTAGAGGCTGGCAGTCGACCTGGTTCTATTGCCAAGATGTCGCGACCCCTGGTCAGTCGACCGGTCTCCCCCACTTCTCGTTTGACCGAGTCCAGACTCCTGCTCCACTGAAAGTGACTGCTGGTGAGATCATGGAGACGAGGATGTTGGTGGACAGGGTGGTTCAGCTTATCAACGATGGCGTCACGGGCCTGGATCTGTTGGAGGTGTTCCTTAGCCGACGCATCCAGCCCCTCCAGGCCCGCGATCACCCGATGTGGCTGTATTCCGGGCCGGACGACACCGCTCGGACCCATCCGGAAGAAGTGCCTCCTGCAACAGTAGCCTCGTGGCTGAGGAGCATCACGGGCAATCAGGACAACCCCAGAGGGTCTAGGTGGGTCGTTCCCTTCAGCAGCGCAAATCCACCCGACAAGGTTCTCTTTTCGTTCCGACTGTTTCTCATTCATGCTCCAAATGCACTTGACATTGACCGACTC